TCACGGACTGGAGTCATTTGCCCCAGGGTTAGGCCACAGCATGTGACCCAGGGAATCCCGTGGAGAGGGGCTGGGTGTGAGTGAGGAGGAAGGTGTTTTTCTTTGACCATTTTGCTTGCCTCCCCTGTCCCCCAGTACCCTGTGGACAATTCATGGATCTCCCCAGAGCTCCGGCTGCAGAGTGATGACATCTTGCCCTTGGGCAAGGACTCAGGGCCCCTGAGTGACCCCATCACAGGCAAGCCCTACGTGCCCCTGTCAGAAGCAGAGGAGGTGCGTCTGAGCCAGAGCCTGCTAGAGCTGTGGCGGCGGCGAGGGCCTATCTGGCAGGAAGCCCCCCAGCTCCCTGTGGACCCGCATCGGGACACCATCCTCAACGCCATTGAGCAGCACCCAGTGGTTGTCATCTCTGGGGACACGGGCTGTGGGAAGACCACACGCATCCCCCAGCTGCTGCTGGAGCGCTATGTGACCGAGGGCCGCGGCGCCCGCTGCAACGTGATCATCACCCAGCCACGCCGCATCTCGGCCGTGTCCGTGGCGCAGCGGGTCAGCCACGAACTGGGCCCCACCCTGCGCCGGAATGTGGGCTTCCAGGTGCGACTGGAAAGCAAGCCGCCAGCCCGAGGCGGGGCCCTGCTCTTCTGCACTGTGGGCATCCTGCTGCGGAAGCTGCAGAGCAACCCCAGCCTGGAGGGCGTGAGCCACGTCATCGTGGACGAGGTGCATGAGCGGGACGTGAACACAGACTTCCTGCTGATTCTGCTCAAGGGCCTGCAGCGGCTCAACCCGGCCCTGCGGCTGGTGCTCATGAGCGCCACGGGCGACAATGAGCGCTTCTCCCGCTACTTTGGTGGCTGCCCTGTCATCAAGGTGCCTGGCTTCATGTACCCCGTCAAGGAACACTACTTGGAGGACATCCTGGCCAAGCTGGGCAAGCACCAGTACCCGCACCGGCACCGGCACCACGAGGTGAGGGGACGTGTCCATTTCACCCCACCCGGGCTCTCGGCCTTTCCTCCCTGTCCCTGTCGCTTGGCCTGTGGTGAGTTACCCGTCCCCAGCATTCATTTTCTCCAAAGAAATAGGATGATGGGGCCTCTGCGGTGGCGGTGTGGTGAGGGTTGTGGGTGACACATCCAGTGCCTCGGCCTCACTGAACCCCTCGCTCTGGGGCTGTGACTGTGGCCTCTCTTCCCCACCCCAGTCCGAGGATGAGTGCGCACTTGACTTGGACCTCGTGACCGACCTGGTTCTGCACATTGATGCCCGCGGGGAGCCAGGTGGGTGTTCCCCTCGCCCTGTGCCCACCCGACCTCGTGTGCCAGGAGCAACTGCTCACCCTGCGGGACCCCTTTCAGGTGGGATCCTCTGCTTCCTGCCTGGCTGGCAGGAGATCAAAGGGGTGCAGCAGCGCCTGCAGGAGGCCCTGGGCATGCACGAGAGCAAGTACCTCATCCTGCCAGGTGAGAGCCGCGTGCCGGGCTTCATGGCCCCCTGGTGCTTCTCCTGCCCTCCGTCCTCGGGAGCGACCCAGCTGGGACTCACAGGTCCAGGGTTTCTGACCAGACTGAACTCCTTGCTGGCGTTGCTCCCTCTCCTGGGCATATTGACCTGGGCCTCACGTTCGTGGAAATGAGGTGAAAGTCCTTGCCCATAACCGGCGCGTGCTTGCTGCCCACCAGTGCACTCCAACATCCCCATGATGGACCAGAAGGCCATATTCCAGCAGCCACCAGTCGGCGTGCGCAAGATAGTCTTGGCCACCAACATCGCCGAGACCTCCATCACCATCAATGACATCGTGCACGTGGTGGACAGCGGGCTGCACAAGGAGGAGCGCTACGACCTGAAGACCAAGGTGGCCCCGCCTCCTGGCCCTGCCAGCCCCCGCCCAGGGAGCAACTCCAGGTTCCGGGGCAGCCCCGGTCCTGGCCCCCTCTGCCTGGGACCTGCCGTGTGTGTCTGGAGAAGGCCACACTCGGGGATCTTGGTGTTCCTGTTGGGGGAGGGGGAGCTGCCGAGGGTTCATTGAGGTGGCCACCAGGCATGGGGAAGCACGGGGAAAGGCCTGTGGCATCCGTGTGGCTGCTCACGGGCCCCCTCCCCCAGGTGTCCTGCCTGGAGACAGTGTGGGTGTCACGAGCCAACGTGATCCAGCGCCGGGGCCGGGCAGGCCGCTGCCAGTCAGGCTTTGCCTACCACCTGTTCCCGCGGAGCCGTCTGGAGAAAATGGTCCCATTTCAAGTGCCAGAGATCCTGCGCACGCCCCTTGAGAACCTGGTGCTGCAAGCCAAGATCCACATGCCAGAGAAGACGGTGCGGCCAGGGCGTGGAGCGGTGGGCGGGCTGGCCTTAGGAGTGGCGGGCAGGACCCAGGCTCATGGGGCGGGGCTCTGCTTCGTTCTTGCCGCAGGCGGTGGAGTTCCTCTCCAAGGCCGTGGACAGCCCAAACATTAAGGCAGTGGATGAGGCCGTGATCTTGCTCCAGGAGATTGGTGAGTGGGCAGGTCCGGCGGGGCTGCGGAGAGGCTGACAAGGCTGGGCCTGACAGCTGAGCTGTTGCAGGGGTGCTGGACCAGCGGGAGTACCTGACCACCCTGGGACAGCGCCTGGCCCACATCTCCACCGACCCCCGGCTGGCCAAGGCCATCGTGCTGGCAGCCATCTTCCGTTGCCTGCACCCGCTGCTAGTGGTCGTGTCCTGCCTCACCCGGGATCCCTTCAGCAGCAGCCTGCAGAACCGGGCGGAGGTGGACAAGGTCAGACCCGTCCCTCCCCGTGGCCCTCCGGTGCTCCCTCGCAGCCCTTCACCGGCTCCTGTCCGGAGGTGGCCTCTTGGAGCCCCTCCCCTGTGACACTCTGCCCCTCCCAGGTGAAGGCACTGTTGAGCCAGGACAGCGGCAGTGACCACCTGGCCTTCGTGCGGGCTGTGGCCGGCTGGGAGGAGGTGCTGCGCTGGCAGGACCGCAGCTCCCGAGAGAACTACCTGGAGGAGAACCTGCTCTACGCGCCCAGCCTGCGCTTCATCCACGGTGAGCGGGGCCCCCCGCCTGGTCTTCAGCCCTCCCCCCCTCCCGCCTGCACTGGGCTTCGGGGTCACCCGACTTTGCCTCCCCAGGGCTCATCAAGCAGTTCTCCGAGAACATTTACGAAGCCTTCCTGGTGGGGAAGCCCTCGGACTGCACCCTGGCCTCGGCCCAGTGCAACGAGTACAGCGAGGAGGAAGAGCTGGTGAAGGGCGTGCTGATGGCGGGTCTCTACCCCAACCTCATCCAGGTGCTGCCTCGGGGGGCTGACCGGGCCCCAGCCTCCTCCCGCACCCCCCAGCTCCTGGCTTAGCCCAGCCAACTTTTCCATCACCCCTGTAGGTGAGGCAAGGCAAGGTGACCCGGCAGGGCAAGTTCAAGCCCAACAGTGTCACGTACAGGACCAAATCAGGCAACATCTTGCTGCACAAGTCGACCATTAACAGGTGGGGGACAGGACAGGCTGGGCGGGGCAGCTAGCAGGGGGCAGGAAGGTGGCCTCACCCAGCCCTTTATTCCCAGGGAGGCCACACGGCTACGGAGCCGATGGCTGACATATTTCATGGCCGTCAAGTCCAACGGGAGCGTCTTTGTCCGGGACTCCTCCCAGGTGCACCCACTAGCTGTGCTGCTAATGACCGACGGGGACGTCCATATCCGTGGTAGGTACCTGCAGACCTCCCTCCCCACTCGCCGTCCACACAGGCTTTTCTATCCTCGGGGGCCTGGCTCACCTGGGCTCCCCTCCTTTCCCCTTCCCCCAGATGATGGGCGCCGGGCCACCATCTCACTGAGTGACAGCGACCTGTTGAGGTTGGAGGGAGACTCACGCACCGTGCGGCTGCTGAGGGAGCTGCGCCGGGCCCTGGGCCGCATGGTGGAGCGGAGCCTGCGCAGCGAGCTGGCCGCACTGCCCCTTGAGGTGCAGCAGGAGCACGGGCAGCTGCTGGCCTTGTTGGCAGAGCTGCTGCGTGGGCCCTGTGGCAGCTTCGACGTGCGCAAGTCCGCTGACGACTGAGCCCTGCCTCCGCTGGGGCTATGTACAGAGTGCAAATGTTTATTTAAAATAAAGTTCTATTTATCCCTTGTGAGCATCGCTATCCGCTGGGGGCTCCTCCCTTGGGGCCTCGGCACCCTGGACCCCCAGACCGAAGAGTGACGCTAGAGCGTTGGGGCTCAGGCTGCGGCCCAGGATCTTCAGAGGGAGGGGAAGAGGGTTGGGACCCACCCTCTCAAGAGCTTGAGCCACCAGTGCTGTTAACCAGCTTGTGCTATTGGGCCAGCTCAGTCTTTTGTCACAGCTGCTCCGAGACATACTATGGGTGGTCTGTCACAGCAGTCACTGTCCTTGCAGGCTGGGACTGCAAGTGTTGAGCAGCCTGTTCTGGGCCTCCCTCCCTGGGGCAGTGGTCTGGTCTGGCTGCCACCTCCTGACCCCAAGCAGATGGGGAAGTTCCATGGCAGCCAGGGCCCTCGGGGACCAAGTGCCACAGGCTAGTCTGTTTCCGGTCCCATCCACATGCTCACAAAGCAGGAGCTGCGCTGGTTGCAACTGCTCAGCGCACACCAGTCCCCCAGTGCGGGAGGACGGGCTGGGGGGCAGGGTCTTGGAGACAAACCAGGACGCACAGGAGACGGGGCCCGTGTGGTGGGACATCATGAGCTTTATTTACTCTTAAAATGGTTACAACAGAATCACAGACATAGGCGATGGCTGAGCCAGAAGCAGATCGGGCAGTACAGAAATGCCCTGCCCCAGATGGCTGCAGGGTGGTGCACAGCACGCAGGCCTCTGGTCCTCACCTGTCAGGGTGGCCACCTCAGCCTCTGGCTCATGGGACCCTTCAAGGGAGCTGTGGCCAGGCCACCTGGGGAGCTGTCCCGCGTGGGTCACCTGGCCCACCCCACCCTTGGCGAAGGAGTGAGGGGAGGCAGAGCCTGCTGTCAACCTCAGTGTCTTCGCCTTCCCCAGCTTCATCCTGCCCCTTCCTCCAGCTCAGAAACACAGGCGCCCTGACCTCCCGCATGGTGGCGCGTGCTAGACAGTCCGGCTCTGGAAGCACTTTGTCCCCAAGACCTACGCCTTGGGAGCTGGGATGCGGTGGCAAACCTCTCACAGCACATCTGCCCTGGGAATGGGGAGAGCGGCCCCACCCAGATGCCCACCCTCTACAAGGAAATCAAATCTGAACCCACTTCCAGGGCCCCCCTTCTTGGCTCCGAGGGACAGGAGCCGGGGGCCAGAGGGCAAGACACCCAGGCCACACCATGGGAAGTGCCCTGCGAGAGAAGCCCTGAGACTCCCAGGCCACTTCACTGCAAGCTGGTAGGTTTAATCCTTTATTAGAAACCATGCAAACTTTAATACAAAAAATACAAGTGCAGTAAGAATCTTCGTGTCAATAGGATTCCCGGGATTTTTCCTCATTGCAGCCACCCCAACGGCGGGCCTAGCAGGGACCCCTCCGCAGGCTGGCCTCGCCTCGCCTCCCTCTCCTCTCCAGTCAGGCTGTCGGGGACAGGGGACGGCCTCAGTCTCATGCCTTTATTTTTAAATTTCCGGTCCTGATTCCCCACTACCCACACAAGGTCTGGACGCCTCGGGCTCCCCAGGAGCTGAGGGCACGAGTGTCCTTGGTCTGCAGGCCTGGAGGCCTTTGACCTCCACGGCCGTTCCCAGCCCTGACCTTGTATCTCCCTCCAGATCCCAGGAATGAGACAGACAGAGATGCCCAAACCAGCCTCTTGGTTAGAACAGAAAAGCAGCATACACGCAAATGCCAGAACCAGCAGCCCACACTCGGACCAGCCCCTAGCACGCGCTCCCTGCTCCCGGGCCGCGGCCCCATGCCCCCGCTCTGCCCGCACGGCCTCCAGGGCTCCGAGCTGCAGGCCAGGCCGGTGCCTGACCTCCCGGCTGGAGGCTCACGCATCTCCCCTCCCCGCTTCCTTTAACACCTACTGAGGACTTTCATTCAGACATGACTTCAACTTGCAAAACTACTCCACCAGTTTTTAGGTTATTTAAAAAAGGGGGATAAAACAAGAAAAAAAAAAATTACGACAGCAGCTAGGCAGATATGGGAGGCAGTGGGGACACGCAGCGCTGACCCCTAGCTAACTCGGGGCAGGGTAGCAAGAGGTGTCTGGCACCACCTGCATGGTGGGCAGCACTGTGGGGTCAAAGGGAGAGGCAGTGGCTTAGCAAGTTCCGGGGGACACAGGGCTGGGCCATCACATGAACATTCTGCTCTTCCCTCCAGGTGGACCCAGCTAGGAGGGAGGGTATGTCAGTTTCTCTTGGGTTTGGTCCAAAAAACCCAAACAAAGAGGAGGTTAGAATCCCGTTCCTTCCTCTCCGATCCCCCGAGATCCCGCGCTAGCCTCCCTGCCCCACTCCCCTCCCAAGCTTCCCCCTGGAGCAGTGATGCCATGATGGGCCAGGAGCAGAACACAGAGCTGGGCCTGGGGCCGGGGTGGGGGGGGTGGGGGTGGGGGACAACTGCTGCTGCCCCAGGCAAGCGAGGCGGGCGGGAGGGAGGGAGGGAGAGCCCTAGAGAGCTGCCCAGCACCCAAGGGGTCACAGGTCTAGTGGGCAGCTCGGGGGAGGGAGCCAAGGGCCCGGGCGCCGGAGCTGGGGCCGCCAAGGAAGTGGGGGGGGCGGGAGACAATGTCGGCCCCGTGGTCGGTGCGGGCCCTGGCGTTTGCCCGGAACGTCAGCCTGTAGGTCTCAATCTGCAGTGACACGGGAGGAGGGAAGGGAGAGGGTAACGAAGGAGACAAGAGGGGCAACAAAGGGGACGGAAGACGAGACCAGAATGTCATCATTAGATGCCTGGAAAAATAAAAGGTTGTTTCGTTAAAATTTAGGCCACACTCTAGTCAAAAAACAAAGGAGTTTCAATTTGCAGCCAGTGGCAGGGACCCTGGCTGGCCCTTAGGCCAAGCCCAGCCACTTACTTGTCTCCTGGATCTGGCAGTCCAAGGTCTGGGCCTCCCTTTGGTCACCACCCCCTGCCAGGGTGGCGTGGCCATGGAGGCCACTGGCTGGGGTGGGGGCGCCAGCTTCGGGCACTGCCTCAGGGATGGCCGGCTCCTCCCCAGCAGGGGGGCCCGGACACGGTGGGGCCTCGCTGCCACCGCCCTCAGTCTACAATGAAACAGTGGGGGAGACAGTGCAGGGTCAGTCCGAGAGGGAGTGGGATGGGGTGATGGCGATGGGTTTCACACGCAGCCCCCGCCCCCACCGCCCCTGCCCCTCTAATTAGGGTGGGCCGCCCGACCCCACCCTCAGGCGGCCTGGCGCAGGGCAGGGAGGCAGGCTCTGGGCGGGAGAGCGCAGCCCCGGCCCGGGAGCACTGGCCGCCTCCTCTGAACACAAGGCTGCAGGAAGCCTCTCTGCGGTGCTGGGCTCCCCGCCACGCCGCCACCAAGCACAATGGCGGCCACGAGAGCAGAGTCAGCGGCAAGGCTGAGGAGCCAGCTCAGGACGGCAGGCCTGAACGTGGCTGGGACGCAAGGGTGCCGCAGGCAAGTCAGCACTGGAAAAACAGTTCCAGAAACAATAAAGAAAGGGAACTGACAGTGAATTAAAAAAAAAACAAAAAAAACACAAGACATGGGGTCAGAAGGGCCAAGTGTGAGCCCTTGTCTGCAGGACCCGCTGCGCGGTCTTGGACAAGTGGCTACAGCTGAGCTGGTGCCCCGCCCCGAGACATTCCTGGGCGGGGGGCAGGAACAAGGGTGTGACAGCCAGGACCCCACACCGTCAAGGACATGAGCTGGGGCAGAGTCCTCCTCGGGGGCGGGGTGGGGGGGGACCAAAGAATGGCGTGGGGCATGGCCTGGGCACTCAGCCTTCTACTTGCGCTCCTTGCCCTGCTGCTGCCCTCAAGCACAGGAGCCTGCAAAACGCTGCCTCACGACCCCTGCCCACCCGATGGCGACATGGAACACAGGACAGACAGCCCCCGGGCACACAGAGGGTCTCACAGGACTGTGGAAGGAGGGGGGCAGGGAAGGCCAGAGGGAGGGCGGGGCGGGGGGCCCGGTCGGCCTGGAGAGGGGTGCTCTGCCCTGAGCGAGCCAGCGCTCTCCCACGGGCAGTCCCCCCAGAGGCAGGCGGGCGCCAGGCCCGCTGTCACTGGCGGGAGAATGTGCTGTCCTGCTCCCGGGCCTGAAGCCTGTACCCACAGTCCTCTATCAGGAGGTAGCTAGGGACGGCTGTACTGTGTGGACCACCCGCCTCGGGGGGACCTGTGCCCCAGGCCCGTAGTCCCTCGGGACATGGCTGAGAGGAGCCCAGAAAGTAAGAAAGGCCACGGCCCTCGGGAAAAGGGTCTGTCTCCAGCTGGGGTCCCTTCCCCTCTCCTGCCTCGCCCGGGACGGAAGATGGATGGGGTGGGGAGAGCAATGGTGTTGGGGAACATGACTCCTGAAGAGACTGAGAGGCGGTGACAGCACCCGCTTGATGGGACCCAGAATCCACTGCGCACCCCACACCTCCCCAGCTGTGTCCCCCTGAAGACCCACTCGCTACCTTCACGGCACCTCCTGCAGGCAGGTGGCCCACGTTATCCAGGGACCCCACCTTCGCCTGAGCCTTCTCCTTGAAGTTCAGCTTCTGACTCTCAATCTTGACATCTCCTCCACCTAAACCAAGAGGCATCGGGTGCTGAGGGTGGCAGCAAAACGTCCCCGCAGGCAAAGCCGGGGCCTGGCTAAGCGCCCAGCGTGCAGCTGGGGAGGCCGCAACGGCTCCCGGTGGCTCCGAGGGCAGACAGACGTGCAGGCCGCGAGCACGCTCATCAAAGCAGGGCCACTTCTCTCCAGGTCTGCGAGCAACTCCCCATGGAAAAGCCGCCCCGCACCCCGGCAGCCCCCAGCCCCGCGACACCCTGTCCGCCCAGGACGGGGTCCTCGTGTCACAGCCGCTAGTGCTTGACTGGCAGTGACAGGACGGCCAGGCGAACCGTCCGTGCAGCGGAACCGAATCACAGTGCAGCGACAGGAAGGAAGGGCCCGCGCCCGGGGCCAGTGGGCTGAGAAAGGGCTGGGCCTGTGTCGGAGCCCGTCGGTGGGGAGGAGGGGGCAGCGGCCTGCACCCAGGGCCCCGTGCAGAGCTCCCGGCCACAGGCTGGAGGGCCCGCCTGCCCTGCCGCAGCCCAGGGGCGTGGCTCCCCCCCACCCCAGCCCATCTCTGACCCTGCGACCTCCTCTCAGCTCAGGTCACACACCTCCACACCTGGCTTCTTGCCGAATCCCCAGGCATCCTCCACACTGGCACCCCAGCCCTGCCCCCAGCAAACACTGGTCCTGGAGACACTCAGGGCCTCCAGGGAAGGGGGCATCTCACAGGAGCGGATCTTCCAGGTGGAGGACGGGCAGGGAAAGCTAGTTAAGGGCTGCCAAGTTAAAGAGCGCACATTCCGAAATGGGGCAGCGGGGGGGAGAGGGGGCGGCGGGGGCTGCTCTGCTGGGAGGGAAGGGAGCTTTCCCGGCCTTGACCTTAGCTGGTCCACGGTGTCGGCCCTGAGACACCCGACTCACCTGCAGCGCGCCTGCTGCGCAGTGGGGCGCGCCCACCCCGAATCCGGCCTTCCAGGCTGGGGCCGACCCCGTGCAGCTGGGGACGCCCTTTGCTCCTGCAACTCACAGGCGCCCCAGCCGCTCTCTGGAGCCCCTTCAGCTAACGTGAGCCCCCGGGACACACCTCTCCCCCAGGCCTCGGTCAGCAGCAGCACACACCCGCCTGTCCTTCCAGTGAGGCCCGGGCGAACCGCAGCCTTTGCCATCTGCTCCCCTCGCTGGGAGCTTGGCGCCCGAGTCCCACTTCCTGACAGCGACTGAGGACTGTGCTGTGCCACGACTGTGTCTTGTGTGGGGGTGGCCCACGGAATTTTTATGGAACGACAAAGACACAGAGGGTAAAACCAGGGTGGTGGAGGGAGACACACTCACCAGGCTTGTGCTTGATGTTGGCCTTGGACCCGCACTTGGAGGAGACCTTGGAGATGTCCACCTTCTTGTTCTGAATCTGAACCTGAGGAGAAAAGAAAAATACTGCTTCAAATAGACAACTCCTTTATAATCCTCTTCTCCACATTCAAGTTTTTTCTCTCCCTTGCAAGCCCCTACTTAAGCCTGTTCGGAGTCAGGGTCACCTCCCTAAGTGCTTCAAAGAGCCCTGGATCCATCCTGGCACTGCGTGTAGCCTCTGACCCCGCCTCCAGCCAGACCAAGCCAGTGCCTCCATACCCACCACCCAGGCGCCGGCAGACGGTTCTGCGCCCGCCGTGCTGGGCCTGGCCTCCCGCAACCCTCTTCTGCCTCACCTCAGGCCCCAACCCCCATGCCCGCCTTGCCCAGGGGCAGACTGCAGTAACGTGTGGCACCCTTCCTTCCGGTTCTTCCAGTGCATCGCCCCCTCCTGGCCAACAGCACAGATGTCTACCTTCCTTTCTGGAGCTGTACGTATTAGGGAGGGCCAGCAAACTCGTTGACGCCTGCCCTGTGGCGCTTGGGAAAACATCTTAGTGCCAGGGCTGGTGGCACATCTTTAATTTAGGAAAGGACACCTGTGGACAGCACTTCCCACTGCGTTCCTGGGTGGGGACTGAGTGACCCGGCGGCCCCTTGGCTGCAGAAGAGCCTGGCTTTCCCGCGCAGTGGCTCACAGCAGGTGTCACACCAGGTGAGCTATCATCACGATGCCATTTAGCTGGCTGCCTTGCAGGACCTTGTCGTTCTCCTGCGTCAGCTAATACGGTCTCCACCCGCAGACAGACGTGGTATCTACCCTGCGTTTGCATTCTCACCCACAGCCCAGGACCTGGCTCGGCGTAACTTCCCGCAATCCTCAGCTTGCCCGAGTCATCCTCTCTCGGCTTGTTTTGATTTTTTTGGTACATCTTTTCATAATTGCATTTTACCTTAGGGGAGAAGGCCTTTTTAAGTTCTGAGATAATCTCTCATTTTTCTTTCCATTCACCCTGCCCAGTTTTATACTGTGCACACAAAATGCATTTAGAAGCGTCAGAGGATCCCGCCCTTGGCTGTGTGGGTACCGACGGGAGGCTGACTGCCGTGTGCATCCTCGCCGCTGCTTCCAAAGCCTTGCTCCTGCTCATCCCCAGCCTGGCAAGCCCACCGCGTTCTCCTTCCTTTCTTCAAAGCCCGGCTCACAGGCCGCCTTCTACAGAGCCTTCCCTGGCTCTAGCTTCCCTTTACGTCATCACCCTTGAATGGACATCAGCAACCACTGGACACCAAACTGCTTCACGTATTCAACAGTACCCCTTTTTAAAAAACACAATTGCTACATGAATTTGCGTCACCCTTGCGCAAGGGTCATGCCCATCTCCTCTGCATCGCTCCAACTTTAGTACACGTGCTGCCGAAGTGCGCGCTCCATGGTGTACCAGGCCATGCTGCCATCGAAGCCGCGGCCTCTCCTCTACCGCCTCTCTCCGACGAGGCTGCCCTTCTCCACAGGCCGGGCCAACGGCAAGTGCGCTTTTCCCAGCTGTGGCAGCTGCTCAGACCAAGCGCACCTTGCGCTGCCCTCGAGACCACCTGCGGGGACTGCACAGCTGTCGCTCACCACGGCCGGGCTCTCGCCAAGCTGTGGAGCCCACGTGTTCCTTGACAGTGTTCTTCCCTCAAAGCCTCCACTTCTCTACCTCTTGCCTTGTCCTCAACTGAAGAACAGATGACAAGAGGACACGCCACTTCCCAGACGTATTCCAGCCAGTAACACGGGAGCAATGCACCCCCACGGAACGAGGGACTGGGGGTTGGGCATCAACAGTTGCCAAAATCACGAGAGAAATAATGGGAAGAGTGAGACACACTACACTTCCTAACAGAACACTACCCTAGCTATGCAAGTCTGGTGAAATGGGGGGGGAAAAATCAAGAATCAATATAAAGAAAATGGAGGGTTAAAGAAACATGTTAAATGGGGATATAATCAGCAGAATCCAGACTCTAGGACAAACCACTTGGTTTCCTCATGAACAACATTACTACAAAAAACAGAACTGGACAGGTAAGTTGTAGAGCAAAGGAAACCTCAGGTTATAAGAGACAAGAGACACATCAACCAATCACCACGTGCGGACCTTGCTGGATCCTGATTCAAACAAGCAGCCCTATGTCACGTGAGCTGGTCTTCTAAAATATGTACACATGTGTATGTTAAAGAGTGTTTATCGCCTAAAGGTACACAATGGAATATTTGTAGAGGAATGACTTATCTAGCACTGGCTCCAAAATAATTAAGGAGAGCATATGGAGATAAGATTGCCCACAAACACAAAGCTGGGTAAAAAGTACACTCAGTCCGTTTCACCATTTTATCAACTTTTGTGTATGTTTGAAAATTTCCATAATGAAAGGTTTTGAAAAGCTTCACTGCCTCTGAGACGCGGCTCTTCCCCCACCCCCTGCCCACCCTGGGCAGGGATGCAGAGGACCCACCACGCCCCTCGCCACTCCTGGTTATCCGCCCCCCTCCCCCCGCCACCGCCGGGCTCCAGATTCCGGGAGCCATGTGCTGCCTCATTGGCCTAGGATGTGTGCTTCTCATGCCTCGAGGGCTGGCCCACAAGTCCTGCCCCCCCGCCCCCCCAATAGTCAGCAGAAACCACGTCGCGGCTGATCCCGCATCTACCGCACCGGCTGTAGCTGTGTTCATACAAGTTGCCACAGATCTGTGACATCTATGGGCCTGGTGCCACTGAAGGGACCCTGCCAACAGGTCTGGGAACTCATTACACATGCACATGCCCCTCCAGGAGGAAATGGGGTTAAAACTGCTGCAGAATTTGAACATGGGCTCAGATACCAAAGTAGCTGCTAGGTTTCCGCCCAACATCTTCCCGGCTCTGGACAAGGGGCGTGCCAGTGCGTGTCTGCGGGGGGAGGCGCTGGGAGGCACTACCCGGGATCCTGCTCCAAGACCCTCAGCGGGCTCCGGAATCCCTGCGTGGGGAGGGGCGGGAGGTGGACTTAGCCCAGTAATGCCACCCCCACCTCCGCAGGGCAGACCCGCTCTTCCTGAACTGCGCGCACCCGCATTCCATTCGCGGGGCTTACAAAGTGGCGGCGGGAGCGCGGGCGCGAGCGCCTCCGCCCACCCAGGGCGGTTATCCTCACCGTCCCACCTGGAAACAAGGCTCCCAGGTGGGACCTGAGCACCATGCTGCTGACAGGAGCCTCCTAAAACGGAAGTGCTTTTAAAAAGTACATCTCTCGCCCTCTTGCTGACGTCCTGCTAGGCCGTGTGAAGACCGCAGTAGGTGACAGACAACCACCAGTCACTTTCAGAGCTCTTACACACACCAAACGACACACACAAGCACCCCCATTACTCTGACTCCCTGTTCACCTTCTGTTTTCATCGGGCCAAAAGCCTGAGGGAAAAAGCGAGGGCCAGTGCCCACCTGGGCACCCCCTCCGGCCCGTCCTGCAGCAGGCTGGCTACGTCTGGCCAGGCACGCCCCACCTGAAGGCAAGCCACGGCTGCTGCCCACCTGCGGACGGGCCCACTGGGAGGTGACCGGGAAGGAGGTGTGGTAGGGGGCCATGTGGGGCAAGAAAGGGGCACGCTATGGCTGCCTTCCTCACGACAGGGGCAGGCAGGACGGCGCGACTGCTGAGGGGCAGCGTGGGCAGGGGCTGCCCACAGACGGCTCCCCAGCACGCCCCGGGCCACACTGCAGAGTCCCGCTGGCCTGCACACTGTCACAGGGACACATGACAAATTCACAGACGTTCTTTACACACTGACGAACAATGACACTTGGCCCTGCCTCTCCCTAGACCAGGACTGCCCTGTGAGCTGGAGGCCCGCGTCCCCACCACAGGTCTTACAGCTGGCACAGAGGCGCAGCACGGCAGAAGGGGTGTCTGGATGGAACAGGGAAAGGGACAGAAAGAAAAGGAGGGGAAGGGAATCAAAAAGGAAGGAACCAGAAAAGGCAAAAGGAGCGGGAGGAGAGATTAGAAAGGAAGAGAGAAGGCGGGAGAGGAGAGAAGGGAAGCGGGGACAAGCAGCAGAGAACGAAGCAGGGAGGGGAGGAGGGAGCGTAGTAACTCCCTGGGCCTACGTCAAGGATGGGGGGTTGGCCTCGGGAGAAGGTGGACCCCCACATGCTCGGGGAGAGCAGACAGAGGCATGTATCCCCAGGAGCAAACCCGAGAGAAATGATAGGCCTGCCGCCAACCTGTGTCCTGGGACCAGCCTCTGACACAGCTACAGGGGACGCGCAGGCCCCCACCCGGGGTCCTGTGAGCTCAGACAGGTGGCCCCCACTCCAGTGTGCCCCACATTGGACTGGGCCTCAGATGCCAGGTGTCCGGAGCTGATACTTACATTACCACCTCCAGGGACATGCTTAATATTGTCCTTGGAACCACACTTGGACTGAATATGGCTGTAGTTCAATTTTTTGGAGACTATCTGGACCTGGAGTGTTAGAGAACAGAAAAAACAACACAAAGGGAGAGGGCTGGTTAGAACCGACACAGGGCAGGCAGCGAGTCCACACATGACCACGGCGCCTGACAGAGAGTGCCGCTAACACTCTGCCCCCACCCTCGGCAGAACCGCTGTGGAAAGCACAGAGGAAGGGATCTGGAGGAGCAGGAAAGAGGGTGAAAACACGAACCAACAACACAGGACAGAAGCAGATGTTGTAGAAGTGCTCCCTGGTCATTATCACTGCTCTTCGGGGGCTGGGCCACGGGTCACAAGCCTGACAGCTGCCCCAGGGGGTACCGGGGCATGGCCTGGCCGCGCCCGGCTGACTCTCTCGAGGGCTGGGGCGGCACCGTGGCTCACCCGGGCCAGTCCTCACCCAAGGACAGCACTTCCCTTCAGGCTGGGGCCTGGGACGGCGGCAGCGAGACACACTCCCTGGGAGGCAGAGGCTGCTGGGAGGAGCACTGGGCAGCTGGCTCCCCGGGCACGGGTCTGACACCAAGGGTAAGGAAGGGACACTGCTCAGCTGTAAACGCAGCCGGACCCCGGGCCACTGGACCTGCCGTGCACAATCCTGGACACCAGGGGGCGTGCAGGCTGCAGCCTTGGCAGCTTCCTCAAGAAGCCCATTCTGTCTCAGTACAGTTGAGGTTTAGGTCGAGGCTCCTGACTGCAGGGTAAACCACCATCTAGAATCCTCCAGACACCTACTCCTGTACCCTGGGCGATTCGTGTGCCAAGAGGCTGGGCTGGGCTGCACAGCTGCAGCACCCACGGCACAGCACTCAGCACTGCGCACAGACGGCTCCCCCGGAAAGCAGCCACACAAGGCCCCGGCTCTGAAGGCTGGAACAAAGACTTCTGCAGCCTTCTGAAGAACAGTTGCCAGCTAGCTTGCTTGCTTGCTTGCTTGCTTCCTTCCCTTTGGAGCACTTTGCAAATGACACAGCTCCCAAACTGGAGAGTTCTCCACAGAGGAGAGAAACCCACCCTGAGAAACTCCACCGCAAACACCTTGCCATTTCTTGCCTTCTTTACAAAACACTTTGGTCTGAACCAAAGACCTACAGGACCTCAAAGAGTTACCAGAAACCATAGTGAAGCCCTCCTCACCTTGCTGACTGTACAAATTCCTTGGGCTGAGATCCATCCTGGTTCTTAAAAGGCTGGAGCTCAGGCCTCCTTGGCAGCCCTTGGCCAGAGAGACCACCTGCCTGCACAATAAGTGAAGGTCCCTACAGCAAGCAGGAAGGCCTAGCTGCGGGGCAGCTCACCTCTGACCTCTGGCCGATGCTGCGACGCCCTGTGCCGGGCGGGTTCTGACTGCAGTGAGCGTCCTGACTTCTCGTTAAGGGGTGACTCAGGAAGCCGGGACGAATGAAGGTGCCCCTACCCCGCAGTGTTACGAAGGAGGCCTTCTAGTTCACCTCAAAGCACAGGGTCTGTGGGGTCCCAGGTCCTTGCTGAGGAAGAACCTGGGTGCTCCGCCTGTGAGCGCGCGCGTAATGGGTGGGCTTCAGCGCCAAGTCAGCGGACACTTCTGTATCCATTTCATCCAGCTAAATAAATAGTCCCCAAAGGGACAATGGGCTCCCAACTGTTAACTTTCAGGATTGATACAAAAAAATTTCCTGATGGCTGAATCGTGAAACACCAAGGAGGGCGCACAGTTGAAGGACGGAAGCGGAAACCAGTGTGAGGACAGGTAAGAAGCGCACCAGAAGGGAAAGTGGCTCACGCTGGAGAGACAGTTTACCACCTTTTACCTTCCAGAGGTAAAAGTCTAAACAAGACTCACTTTCCCCGCAGGTGGTTTCTGTGCCCCTGCACTTGGGCCAGCTGTTCTAGTGGCCGCATTAGGTTCAGGTTTTCGAGCTGCAGCAGCTGCCTCTGTTTTCTCCTCTACTTTGGCCTAGATGGAGATAAAGGGGGGCAAATTTCACACCCAGAGGACAAGGACCCAAATGCCAAGAGGGCAAGGAGCCTGGGGACTCGAATCCAGGCCAGGCCCCCAGGCAGAAGCCAGTCACCCTTGCCCCTGGGAAACACTCATTTCCCAGGGGAGACGCGGCCAGAGGGAGGGGCTGCAGGCCAAAGCTGGAGCCCGAGAGACCAGACAGTGTTCCCAAAGGGGAGGCAGGCGGGCGGGCTCAGCTTGCGATTCTGCTCTGAGTGTGGGCGGCGGTGATCGTTTTCCAATCACAATGCCTTCCCGCTCAAACGCTCTACATGCCCCAAGCAAGCGGCCATGGTCACAGGGAGCCGCTATTGAAAATGGGTGTGGGAACAGAAAATAGCTGCATCGTGAGGCTGATTTACTCGACTCCCCACCCAGACCTTCTGCACCACACAAGCCAAGAGCACGCAGAGGCACCATGGCCCCAAGGCCTGGCCAGGTCCGCTGGAGCCACGGCGCTTAGGCCCTCATCCCAGACTACTCCCGTTTGCCATCAATTCACTGGGAATACAGTCTCTTCCAACTGTATCAGGATTCTGCTTCATTTTTCTTCGTTTTTTAAACAGCTCTGGACTGAAGCGAATGAAGTATCCTGTCCTGAGTGGGCGGTGGTGGTGAAGTGCTAGAGATGACGTAGGAGATGCCAAGGCTACTGCTCCGGGGACTGGAACCTGGACTTTTGCCCCCACCTTTTTCACACACAAAGCCCCCATGGCTGCTAACAGTTAACAAGTAATTTCAGAATGGATGCAAACAGAAAGGTGTGCGGATGCCAACCACCAGCTCTCCGTCACCGCCCTCTACAGCAGACCTTCAGTTCAGGGCAGCCACAGGCCACCAGAGGACACCCTCGTCCTCTCTCAGACTCTCCACCCACCTGCCTCTCCCGCTGCTCACAGTACAGGGGTGGGAACCATGACAAACCAGGTCCACGTCCACTGTATTTCCCCCTAGCAGCCCCAGATATCTGCTCTGTTCATTTTGTGAAGTAGAAGAAACCTTTTGCCTCCAAGCTAAAATATAAGCCTAAACCCCTACATGCAGAATAGGGGCCCCTCTGATTCCAAAGGGAGGAGAAGGCCCAGAGCTTAGCCCTCCCGCCCCCGGCTGCCGGGACACGGAGCCCTGTCTGGCGCGCCCTGACTGCCCCTCTGTGGCGCGGCCTGGGCCGATGATGCGAGGGCAGGCTTCGGAATGGCGGCTGGATGGGGCCGGGAAGGGAGCGGGGCTGGCGTGCCGAGGACCCCATGCCCCCGGACCCACCCGGCCTCCTCCAGGCTGGTGCTTGATGTTCTCCGTGGAGCCAACCTTGGCACGAACGTTCTTCAGATCAGGGGCAGAGGTGTTGGTGGCCGGGCGGCTCAGCCTGGGGGCAGAGGAGCTGGACCTGGCTGACGCAGGCTTCTTGTCCAGAGCAAGGGTCCCGGAGGGCCGGGGCGGCACGGGTGTGGGCTTGACGCGGCTGGGAGCCGCGCCTGATGGGGAAGTGGCCCCAGGGACGGTGGCGGTCTTCTTCACGGTGCTGCTGGAGGCGGTCTTTGGGCGACTCAAGTCAGCTGCAAAGGCAGGAGGGAGAGACACAAGCATTCAGGGGGCGAGAGCAACGTGGAGAGCTGCGAAGTCATGGAAGAGGTGAGGGTTAAGTTCGGGCTCCACACGAGGGTGCTGTTACCTGGTGCAGCCTTCGTAACCGTCTTCTTGACGTCTGCGGGCCTTCCCTCCGTCTTGATGCCTGAACAAACATACACTTTTTAATGTAACGTTTAACAATCTGGCTGACTGAATGGCTCATCCAACACAGACTCACTCAGCAATCAGGGGCGCGCTGGCCTCTGAGGGCAGAGCAGAACACTACGCAGCCCTGCGAAGACCACGCCCTGTGCACGGCGCAAGGCCAGGCACTGTGCCCTCCCCTGCTCCAGCCTGGACAGTGCCTTCCGCACGGCCTTAGAAATGGGTGATCAACACACGCCTATGGAACTGAATGCCCCATTTCTTACCACGTAACAGGCCCGTGCCTGCAAAGCGAGGGGCACTAAGGAGACCCTAGGAAAGGAAAAGTGAATTCTACCTGGGAATTCATGAGTGTCCCCTTCACTCAAGGTTCTTCTGAATCTACCTGCTGCCCTCACACAGAGACCACGGCTACCACTTCCCAACATCCCCCAAAAGGACTGACGTACAAGCAGATGTGCACAGCTGAATGCGGCCCTGTAGAGAGCTATCATGGCTGGGGCACAGACAAGGGAACAGCACTCACCAGCAGGCTTCTTGGGCAGGGGCATGGGACTGCTCCTACTGCCTGGCCCAGCTGAGGTCACGGGAGCAGCTGCTGGGGCTTTCGGGACAGTCGGGGTGCCCCTGGAGCCAGGCCTGGAGGCCGGAGTGGAGGCAGGCTTGGCTGGCGTGGCCGGCTTGGCTGGCGTGGCCTTCTTCTCTGGAACCTTCGCCTCTGCAGCAGGCTGATAAGAGGAAAGCGGGAGTGAGAGCTGCAGTCGGCCCCAGCCCCGGAGGGCATGCCAAGGGTGCCTCCACCGGTGCGCGCACTGCAAAACAGGGTGCTTTGGGCCTGGCAGCTACTGAGGGGAAAACAGGCACGGTCCTAGGATCAAAGTCCTCCAGAGAACTGAGACACTGCCCCTGCAGGGAACTGTGTGAGCTTGAGTCAGGAAGCGGGGAGACAAACGACCTCAAGCCAACCGACCTGAACTAACGAGAAAGAACGGCCCTGAAAAGTTCACCTCTCCGCACAAATGCCTTGGGCTCCATTGCATTAAATGCTGATGTATTTAGTATATTAAATACATGACCAAAGATGAACAAACACACAGACAGAACAAAGATTAAAAATCAAGTCCGTCAAACCCAGCACTCCTTTTGGCTGAGATGCACCAGGTGGGCGATGAGGCCAGGCTGCAGGCAGGGAGAATGCTGGCCCACGAGCCAGGGCGGTGCCTGGGCGCCAGCCCCACTGTGCCCCCGCCTCACAGTGCGTTCTTGGGCAAGTCGCTGACCTCGCTGGGCTTTAGTTCCTCAGCCGGCTCAAGGAGGTGGGACCACAGGGTCTCTAAGGCAGCTGTGATAACATGTGACGTTAGGGCCTAGAGGGCGAGAGGTCTCGGAGAGCCCAGAGACAATGGGGAGAGGCAGGCGGAGGGCACAGGCCTGACCGATAGAGGGAATGAGAAGCACAGATGCCACAGCGGCGGCTGAAAGCAGAGAGAAGTCTCTCAAGTACAGGTGCACCTGGGTCACTGTTTCATGGAGCCTGGACACGCTGTCACTAGCAAGGATGTGAAGGGATCCATTTAGCCTGGTTTCTACAGGAACGAGGGATGAACACACTCTCCTGACAAGCAAATGTACCCCATTACTCCAGAGAGTAAGCCAAGCGACAGACAGACAGTGGACCCAGGTCTTTAATTGCAGGAGACATGGTCCCGCAGGGGGGCGGTGTGGCAGTGGAGGTGTACAGGATATTGAGTAAGAGGGAAAATCAGCTAAGGTGTGCAGAAATTCAGGCCTGGCATCCAGCGAGATAAAAATCCAACCCTGCAAATGCAGGGTAGTGTCCATTTCTAAAAACGAAGCCCCTAAGGATATGGTACGAAGACACCTAAGGCTGGAATCAGAGGAGCTGGTTCAGCTACCAGCTCTGTCCAGAGGGACAGGAGTCTGTGTGGAGGGCCACCCTCTCTGTTTCCTCTAGAATTGGGAGACAAACCAGACGCTCCCTGAGGTCTCCTTCAAATTCACCATACTGACTACGATTCAGAATAATCTATGGGGTCTTAATATTTTGCTAGTAACAATAATGATACAAGAAGTTAGAAAAAAAGATAATATAGAGGTAGAAATCTCTAAAGGATGTGGCCTTCTTTGCACGCCAGGCTCTTGGCCTCGGCAAGCTGCAGCGCCAGCTGCCTTCCTGAGTGGGACTGCGCTGTTTCTCAAGGTGTATTTTCTCCTTTGCCAGACTCACAGAACTAACTGTTCTCAAATATATTTTCTTCCCTTTATTTGAGCCTGTAAATCTTTCTATCAAAATAAGGATAAAAAGATAAAAATAAATTCAATCAGACTTTATTTAGCTTTTATTAATCTCTCAAATCTGTTTCTAATCTAAAAGGGCAAAGAGCAGTTGTAATTGTCACACAGGTGGTCTCCTCCTCAGGTCGGCTCTAACTTGACCGGTTTACAAACTGGGTGACAGAGAGCTGTGCAAGAACAGTGCTGATCGAGGGCCTGAGCAGCAGCATTGTGGGCACCGTGCCCAAGTGCAAATACTGCCTCTGCCACCGACAAACACTGAACTTTAGGAAGATTATGTAACTGAGCTCTAAAACGAGGACACTGGCGTCTACCTCACGGGCGGCTGAGACAGAGAGCTCCAGGGGCCCGTGTGCATAAAGAAGCCCGCGCGGCGCACCGCCTCTTTATTTTTATTACAGAGTGAGACCGCACTGGACACTCCTCCGCCCTGCGCTGCCCTACCTCCCCAGGGTTTGCTGCCGAGTAAGTGCGGGGGGGCGGGGGGCGGGGGGGGTGGCGCGGCTGCACCGTGGCTCCAGCCACCTTCCCGCTACCCTCCGAAGTCTAAGGAACTGTATTCTAAAAATCTAGAAAAGCAGCCAGCTGGATAAGTAAGGATCAGAAAGCTCCACGAGATCTCATCACTCCTAGTCTATGATCGGATTCCAACCTGGATTACAATTCCTAGATTCCACCAGTTTTATTTACTAGATTAAAACACTTGACATTTTAACATGGAAACTATTTCACAACACGAATTTAAAGAAGACAGTGGGCTGGCACAAAGGCCCTTCTCAAGTAAAACGAGATGTTAAGGCAGCACAGACCCCCCTGTCCCACGCCGAGGGTCACCCCGGGAAGCTAACGCTGACCCAAAGTGACTATTTTCTGGGCAATAGCGTGTGGGTGACCTGGAAAACCAAAGAACTTCAGAAGCAGCTCAGTGAGAGGCGGCCTTATGCCAAAAGCAAAGTCAGTTACCCCACAAAGCTGGGATCGGCCGAAGCAAGCTGGAAGGGCTTACCAAGTAAGTAATGGGTGAAATGCACTTCTGCAGGAGTAACAAGGACGGAGAGAGAAGGGAATTTGACTGGGAATTTTATGGGGGAATTGCAGCAAAAGTGAGTATTTGATCAGTATATGGAGAAGGGGACACTGGCTTCCAAGTGTTTAAATGGGTAAAGAGTCAGGAGAGCTGGGGGAAAGAAGGAGAAACCAAAGAGATACAGTATCGCCTCCAACCAGGGCCGGTGAAGGTAAAAAGTATAAAATGCCTTCCAGTGGTATAGCTGCACCATGGGCCCCCAAACAGGTCACCTGGTCACTTTTCCCTGGCCTGTCCCCAGTCCCACCAGCCTGATTCGATCATACTGGTAGCATCGCCTGGCTATCTGACACACAGAGGGGACAACCTTTCCCTGCACAGAGCTCGGTGACCACTCACCTTGGGTTTCGCGTCTTTTGAAGGAGAGATGGAAGGCCTGGCAGTGGCGGCGGCAGGGCGTTTGGGTGGGGCAGCCGGTACTGAGCCCGCAGCCAGGCTCATGGGTTTTTTAGTTGACCCACCAAAGGCGGTGGGAGCTGGCTGCTTAGGGAGAGGACTGGGCTGTGTTTTGGCTTTCGATGTTGAAGTCTTTGAAGGCTGAGTTGTGGCCAAAGGCTTTGGGTTGATTTGTTGTTTTATTTTTTTTAAAAGGCCAACATCAAACACACAGACAAGAATAAAAACAAAATTTAAAAAAAGTATAAATTGCACAATTCAAAGCAAAATTATAAGCAATGAAGAGAGATGCAACTCAAAATTATCATTCCTTTTTTCTGAGCTCAGTAAATAGTAGAAAGGCAACAGAGTAGAAAAACAAAATGAGGACCTATTTTTTAATGGCAGTGCCACAAACTCCAGCAGTTTGACACTGAGAATTTAAATTCAGTAATAGCTTTAAACAATTCATTAACTTTAATGAACTTTCGGTGGCTGTAATAATTCTATGGAAAAGTTACCGGCAGGTGATCACGTTACTGTTACCTGCATTCAGTGAGGCACCTCCAGCACGCTGCTTTGAGGCCCCGCTACAGTGTGCCATGTGAACTTTGCAATTTGTACCGGTAAGTACAAATTGCAAAAACATGCTCTCTTTTTTGAGTGCATATTTCGGAATCTATTTCAAATGAGTTCTGTAATTGGCTTTGTTGCTGAGAAGCGGAAACCGCCGCTACAGCACACTTCTACAGAGAGTGAAGGTAACAGGGCCAAAGGCAGAGATACTAAGGTTTGAGTTAGGCCATTATGGTAAAATGAGAATAAAATATTTTTTAAGCACATCAGAACTTGAGAAAGAACTAGTAACAACTCAGAAAAAAGACATTACAGTCACGAATCAAGCAATAATAACTGAAGATACTATTTGGAAAAAATCGCAGCGGTAAAAGATAACCCACCATTCTGGCAACTACCTTTGTTTTCTTCTCTGGGCTTGGTGGGAGCTCCTTGTTTGGAGGGGTGGTGATGTCATTTCCGGTCACGCTCACTGTAGGTTGTCCTTCTTCTGGCTTGGATATTCCTAAGGGTTGGAAGTTAACGTTAAGCGAAGGTTTTTCACACCCATTTCAAAAATCAAGTCTGAGCAGAGACAGGCAACTAACTAGCTCTTCATTCTGAAAAGACGCCACAGGGCTGTGCCAGCACAACGTGGACGACGCCCCCCAGTCCCCATTGGGGCGGAGGGCGGTGTTAGATTCCAGAGATTCGGCAGCCTGTCCCTGCGGGGAAGCAACCTACGTGGGGTTCGCACAAATGACCGGGGGAGGAAACGGCCCTTCAAGTTTGGCTTCCCTTCCCTGGAGATGGACAGGCAAAGGGGTTCTGTCACCCAGCCACTAACTCCCCGAGCACGCAGGGGACAAAAACCTCTTCTGCGAGAGTTTATCTCTTGGAATAAAGGTTGCAGAGATGGGCTAAGTGCCAGAAGATCATCCAATGTCCTCCTCTTACTTCCTTTCCCTGTAAAGCACCACTTTAGGGAGGATGTGAGATTAACGTGATCTAATTCTAGCAGTGACCCAGATTTCCAACAAGGCAGAGGAGACCCAGGAAATCAGACCCAGGGCCAGAAATAAAGCCTATTGCCTACGGCTCTGCCCAGCAGAACCATTTCGGTTACTCCAGATTTCTATAGGGCTACACCTGAAAGCATTAAAATGCCGTTACATTTTTAACCAGGGCGTAGGAAAAACCTTTCTAACTGGCACAAAATCCAGAAGTCACAAAAGTTACTTTGACTACATAAGAAGGAAAACCTTCAATGTGGCCAAAATAACAAAGATTCAAAAGGCAAATGATAAACAGGAAAAAAGTAGCTGAACCTCACATCAAAGACAAAGAATCTACTATATAAATTACTCCTAAAAATCAGTAACTCCTATAATGGCCAACAACCCAGTAGAAAATTGGCCAAAAGAATATGAAAGAAGTTTACAGAACTACAAATCACTTTTGAAAAGAAGATGTCCAAACATTAAGAAAAATAAAAAATTAAAACTATATGGAGATGCTATTTTTAACCTAACATACTGTCAAAAGTTCCAAGATTTGAAATTCTGTTGGAGACAATACACTGCTGGTCAGTGCATTGAAATGGTACAATGCATAGGCAGGGAAGTCTTGCAGTATCTCTGAAAATTACAAGTGTAGAGTAATCCTAATCCAGAAACCCAATTTCTAGACAATTATCTTTGAGATACATTCATACACCTGCAAAACAGCAAACACCACAGTCTTTTTGTCAGAGCATTTGTTATTAAAAGCAAAAGACTGAAACGTTGCAGACGTCCCTTAATAGGAAACGGGTTATATGAATAGTAATCTCTGAGTCTGAAAAAGTAGAGCACTAAAAAATTCTTTCATGACTGATATGGAAGAATCTGTGAATGAAGAAAAAAGGAAAAAGCAAGACACAGAACAGTATGTTATAACTTAAATCCACTGGTCTAGAAAAGAGATGAGGAAAAATACCTTTCTATTGCAAGTATATCTGTACATGCATTTAAAAGAATCTCTGGAAGAATCACGATGAAACAAAACAATGGTAACTTAATTTGGATGGGGGGGGGTGGACACAAAACTAGGGACGGTAGGAGACTGTATTTTAAAAATTTTTTGTTTTAAAATAATTAGCCCTGGCTGGTGTGGCTCAGTGGATTGAGTACCAGCCTGTGAACCAAAGGGTCGCCAGTTTGATTCCCAGTCAGGGCACAGGCCTGGGTTGCAGGCCAGGTCCCCAGCAGGGGGCGTGCAAAATGCAACCCCACATGGATGTTTCTCTCCCTCTCTTTCTCCCTCCCTTCCCCTCTCTAAAATAAATAAAATCTTTTTTAAAAAGTAATAATTATAGATTCACAGGAAGCTGCAAGGAAACGTACAGGGAGGTCACAGGTACCCTTCGGGCAGCCTCCCCCAGTGCTGACACCCTGCATAACTACAGGACACTGTCAAACCCAGGAAACTGGTACTGGTACAGCCCACAGAGCTTATTCAGATTTTTCATTTTACATGGATTCGTTTGTGTGTGCACACACACCTGCGCATACCTGCAGTTCTGGGCAATTTTGTCCATTTTCTGTAACCATTACTAACAACTGAGACAGTGCGATTCCAGTACCACAAGGCTCCCTCACGTTCCCTATCAGGCCACCCTTTCCCGATCCCTAAATTTCTGGCAACTTCTGTTCTCCATCTCTGTAATATTACTTCAAGAACAGCAGACCAAACGGCATCATGCAGTGTGCTACCTTTTTTGTCTGGTTTCTCTCTCCCAGCACATTTGTGGGATGCTTTAGTGTTACAGGTATTTCGAGTTAGTTCCTTTTTATTGCTGAGTAGGGTTCCAAGGTATGGCTGTACCGCAGTGTGACCAGTCATCCACTGGAGGACATTTTGCTGGTTTCCAGTTGTTCGCTCTGTTTTTTGGTGCATATACATTTAGAATTGTTATGCCGTCTTGGTGGACTGATCCTTTATTCTTTGCTGTGAAATCTATTTTGTCTGATATTAATATAGCCAGCCACTTAAAATTGTTAGCATGATATGTTTTTTCCATCTTTTTACTTTTAACCTACTTATGTCCTTATGTTTAACCTGCATTTCTTAAAGATAGCATATAGTTGTGTAATTTTAAAGAAATCTACTCTTACTATCCATCATTTATTTGTACTATTTAGACTATTTGCATTTAAAGTAATTATCGATGTTAGGGCTCTATCTGCCATTTTATTTGTTTTTATATTTATTTGTTCTGTTTCTCTTGCTGTCCTGTGGGTTACTTGAACTTACAGAATTCTATTTTGATGTTTTTATGTTTTTGTGCATATTGCTTTGCATAGTTTTCTTAGTGGTTGCTCTCAGTATTACAACATACATACAGGCTATGAGCATCAATGTTTCAGTACTTCAAGTGAATTATTGATAACATACCTCCATTTAGGATCTTTTACCCTGCCCACTTTAAAAATACAATGTCTTAAATATTTCATTTTCTGTTACATTTACACCTACTTTTACCAATTCCATTGTTCTTTCATTTCTGAAACTCCAACCCTCCTCCTATTATTGTAACTTATCTTTTTGGAACGCTTCCTTTAGCTGTTCTCTGAGGGTATATCTACTAGCAACAAATTCTCTTCGTTTTCCTCTATCTAAGAATGTCCTTATTTTCCCTCTATTCCTGAGGGATACTTTTACCAGATACAGAATTGGCACTAGACTGCTCTTTTCTCCTGGCGCTTGAAAAATGCACTGCCGCCTCTGCCCTCCATGATCTCTGACAATGCTGTCATTTGAACTGCTGCGTGAACATTCCCAATGCATGTTTTTCTCTGGGTGTTTTTAAGGCTTTAAATTTGTTCTTAGTTTTTAAGTTTCTTTATAAAATGTCTTGGTATAGCTTTCCTTGGGTTCTCCCATATGGGGTTTGTTCATTTTCCTGACTTGATTACATCCTCTGATAAATCTGGGAAGCTTTCAGCCATTATTCCTTTAAACAGTTGCTTCACCTCACGTTCTTTCTCACTTCCTGGGATTCTGATGATACAAATGTTAGGTCTTTTTTTATTGTCCCAAAAGTCTCTGAGGAACTATAATTTTTTTTTAGTCTATTTTCACTGTTTTTCTGACTGAATAAATTCTATTTCTGTCCTCAGGTTCACTGACTCTGCTCTCTAACATCTTCAGTCTACTACTGAGTTCATCAGACACATTTTTAATTTTGATTATTATCTTTTTCCTATCTATAATTCCCATTTGGTACTTTTTAATAACATCTATTTCCTTGTTGAGATTTAGTTTTTCATTTGTTTCAAGAAAATGCATAATTGCTTGTTGGAGAAATTTTATGATGGTGTTTTAAAATCCAGTTTTGTACTTCAGCAGGCAACCACTGTTTAAACTTAGCAAGCAGGTTCTGGCTATAGTTTCAACAACTTAGTTTCCAGAGCCCATGCAGTACAGTTCTGGCCTCCTGTGTTCTGGCTCCAAAGTTCTCAATCCTTGTTGTTACTACCTGCAAGGGCTCAAGGCACTTTGCTGGGCCACGTGATTGCACTAGGTGGGAGTTCAACGACGCCAGACACATGGAATGCCGAGTATTTCTGGCCTATTCTCTGGTGCTGGCAGACTTCCTGGTAGATCTCTGCTGGTGCTGCTGGGAGTGGGAAGCCACTCCCTGGCCTTCTGCTGCTGGAGGGAAGGGTGATGGGGGAAACCACGGTCTCCTTGTGCCCTGGGGTACAGGTCTGGAAGACACAAGGCCAACAGGTGCTGCTGGGAGCACAAGGTCCTACTGTGGCTGGCTTCTGCTGCTGGAGGGAAGGCAACCTGCCTAGGGCCCCTTCCACTAGTAGGAAGGGGCCGGGAAGACAGCGGGCCTGGAGGTGCCCCTGGTGCTGTCACCTGGTAAAGGACAGGGAATGGGCGTCCCTGCCACTGGGAGGAGATTATACTGCAGGGTTCCCATGGGACCAGGCCTGCACCCGTTGCCAAACATGGAATGAATGACAGGGAGGCCCCAGCGACCTCCGCTGGCACTGCCCTGCAGGGCCTGAGCCCACCGCCGCTGCTGGGTATGGCAGGGAGATGGCCCACCGCTACGCCTCTCACAGGCCTTCTCTCCTCTCGTGGTCTTTCGGTAAGAAAGAGCAGGATTATTTCTTTCTTCCTTTTGTCCTTTCCTTCCTCTTTTTTCCCCACGCCTGCTGGTGATTTCAGGTTGCAGGTGTTCCCCAGCGCCCAAACTGAGAAATGTGGACAATTAGAAAGAAAACCAGGAAACTCGCTGCGCTTCTCCCCCAAGTCCGGAGGTCCTTGCCGAGCCCTCCCACTCCTTTCCCCGTTGCGGGCCTTCCGCGAGTGTCTGCTGAGTTGTTCCAGAGTAGTTGGTTCTGTTTACTTAACAGGAACAGGAAAAACAGAGTCAGTGTCACCTTGGTAGGTGGTTTTCTAATGTGTAGAATTTTGTACCGTGTGGTGTTTGAAATCATATGTATTTTTAGTCAACAATGGAATTTTGTT